GGCGCCTAAAGTTGAAAAGAGTTGTGGCGCCAACTCGTGGCTATTCGAACTCTAAAGCAAAAGGCTTCGAACACAAAGCTACTATATAACATTGTTAGGCCAATTTGTCCTTTCCAAAGTGACTAAAAGCACACAAACTGACATAGCAAATTGTAACTATTCAATGTAGCTTTTTGCATACTTAAATATTTAACTGCAGCAATCAACTAAAATAATCAATTAACTGGGAATTTGTTTTTTCAATTGTCACGTTTGTTTTACTCTTTTCTTATTCAAATAAAGCCACTCGTTAATTCATACGCCCATCCTTCATTTCAGTAACCCTCTCTCCATTGAATTGTATTTCTTAGGCCTGCTCTCTGCTCCACTGACCCTGTCATTACGTTTACTCCCCAATCTTCTCCATCTGTTCATCTTCGTCTCCTTTTCAGTTGGTGTGTGTTTTACCACATTGTCATTCACACGTTTATTGACACCTCTTTTCCATGTACACTCTGCTCGCCTTTGCAGGCCGCGAGCAGCCTTCTCATCTGGCCCATTAACTCATTGAGATGAAGTCTGGTTAAACAAAAGACTGAAATCTGATGCCTTGTATTCATAAACCGTTCGTCCCCTCATGCCTCCTTCCCAGTCAGCCTCGTGGGCATGGAATCCATTCTATAATATATCTATTAACACATCATGAAATCAGTGAATAATCTCACAATGTTAAACAGACCATGTGTATACTAAATCAGTCTCAAATAACTTGATAATACATTGACAAGATAATGGATCCCAACGTATTTAAACATTTAAAATGTCAATTTGAATTGCTAGCATTTGTTGGAGAAAAAGTCAAAGAATGTTCTGCATGCTTGGAAAGTTATATATAGTTGTAATACTGAAACCGAATATTGCTCAATATTTGACATTAAAGACAGTGTTCATGCTTAATTGTGTTTTTGACCAAAAACAATACAGATATGGCCAGTGAATAGGCCTCTCAGATGCATGGATTTTTAGGGACAATCACCATGTAGGCAGCCTATCTGAATTAAATCTAGCATAAAATGATTATTAACCAAGAATAATACTATCTTATAATAGAAAAAAAATAAGGCGGGTTTCTTCCTCCTAATTTGTCATGATGGCAATTACCATCCAATTTAGCAACACCACCAATCTTGTATTTGTCTGTATGCTCAGGCGTTTTTATAGCAGAATAAATAAAGCAACCAAATCGTTATTCAGTTCTTCGAAACGCACTCCTATTGAATAGAAAAGGCATTCTGTCCCTGAAAAGCACAAGGAGCTATTTGAGTCGTTGTGAAGGTTAATGATATTCAAATGACTTGTATCTCGCCACATTGTAACTTTTAAAAACTGGATTAGATATCAAATAGAGGAGACTTGCAAGGATTGGATTTAGAATCAACGGATTATATGCATTTGAAGTTTGGATCATCCATCTGATTAAGATAATATTTTACCAACGCAATTATGAAACTTTTTTGAAAGAGAAACTCAAATTAGTAGAAAGTTACTTAACTGTGATGGTTTAATAAGAATGGTTTAGTAACTGTTTTAGTAACTGTTTTAGTAACTGGTTTAAGTAACTGGTTTAGAACCTGTTTTATTGTGGTGTCTCATTCCAGAAAAACCAACCTTTGACTCTTGTTTGTGTAGAGAGACAAACTACAGAGAGGTGTATATATATATATATTTTTTTTTACATTGAATAGGCTACAATACTGTAGCAGGGCTAGTTGTGCTATAGCTCTCACCTGAGAAACAGTGGCATCCTGATATTATCCAAAAGAAAGTATGACCAAAGAGACTGAGAGGTGACTGGCACCATGAGGACAAACTGGCCAGAAACCATGTCAAATTTGTCATCCAAATTGTTTGCTCTGGAAATGAAGGGATGATGGGGGGATATGAAATTATTGCAATCCTCTTGTAATTTGAGCAGATATAGTGTGAGCAAAGGAAGAGGAATCCCAATGATGAACCAGGTGTTCAGCAAGCGATGCCATCTGGCAGCAGAATTAGCAGCTTATGAGCCAGGTGCCTCTGTGATCACTTCTCCCAGCCTCTGATCATGACTCTGTACTGTTGCGTAATGAAAATAGTCAATTTTGTGAGTTGACTCTAACTATAGTACTACTATTTCCAGCTAGTTGACCTCTTGGTGATGTGGATGGTCCTGCTATAGTGTGTGTTTATATGGAATCCATTGCCACTTCAACAGGGAGTTGCTGCTTTAAAGTTAGGCTTTGTATCTAGTAACATAATAATTCACAATCGCTATCTATGTGTTTTTCATACTGATGTCAAAAGTGGCTACAACTTGATACTGTCAAAATCTGAAACTGACCAAGTAGACCCACCCTCACTAAATCGTCCAGTGACACTTCTGTACATATCTATTGTAGCTTTATCTTTGCAATGACCGTTTTCCTCTGCAGTTACCCTTCTGTTAATGCATGCTTGAAGTTTGAGATTAGAGAGTGTATTAATGGGTCATAAACAATCAGATGTTGAAGACTATGTAGACGTCTGAAAGAGCTCTGCTGCCATCATCTGGTAATGATATGCCATTACATTGACTGCAGTATTGCACATTTTCCTCTTTAGACTCACAATTGCTTCCAGTGTACACAAAGGTGCCTAGCCCATCAGCAATGGGCCTATTCATCAGCAATGAATGAATCAACTATATCATCACCTATAGCCTATATTGTGCTGATGAGTAAAAGGGTACATTTATTAGTGAAACAAAGATATGTGCTCTGCAAATAACAAATCTATGTTATTCAGCAAGTCAAACAAATACAATTTCAAACACAAAAAAAGTTTGGAAGGTGATAACTATCCAAAATCAAAACTATCATTATTCTGCTTATTTTGTGTGATTTATTATACCCTAGCTATAGACCTACCATGATTCCAGAAAAGTGATTCATTCTGACATGGCCTTTCTGAACTAGTCTAGTGAGAGAGACTAGCTACTCACCTTCATATCTAGTCACAGTGACACAGCATTATTGAGAGCTGTCCGTGGTGCTGGTTTGAGACAACCCAAAAATGTCTCAGTGAGACGTTTCGTAAAACCAGCACCATGGACAGTTCTCAACAACGTCGTGTCACTGTGATTGATCAAAGCAACGCTGCATCCCCTGCCTCATGTGGTACATTCCGGAACTCTCTAGTAGGCCTACCAACCGTGAGGAGGGGCATAAACAACAGTGACACTTCGATGTAGCTAGCTGTCAAGAGAGCTTGCTAGCCATTCGCTTCCTCAAAGTTCAACGTTGATCTCAAAGCAAGAGGGGAAAGAATAATCAAATAGAGCTGTCTGGTTGAACCAACTCTCTGGGTAAGTGAGAGGAGTTGTCTACTTTTGCATGTATTTTTCAATTTACAATGCTTTGCTGTTAGCTATCGTATCTATCTAGCTAGCTAGCCAGCCAACCAAGCCAAGGGCAAGGCAGGAAGGGTGTCTCCAATCCATATTCGCTTAGCGTTAGCTAACGTGATGGTAAACAATCTTCCCAAACGAGTCTGGATATTGTTGGTAAATATTCTCAGTTTCGAATTAACGTAAAGTTAAATTAGTAACTTAAACGTTACTTAACTATCAGTTAACTAGTTAGTTATCCTTCCTGTCGGCGCTAGTAACGTAACTTTCACGATAGTTATCTAACTTAGAATGCTAGCTAACAACGTTAGCTTATCAGCAAACTAGCTAGCTAGCTAGCTTCATTTTGTTGTTGTTGGCCTGTAAGCCAGGAACAAGCTCATCAATGGTATTCCAGAAATAACTCACTAGTTAACGTTAGGTAGCTTAAGCACAGACAATGCTAACATTGGTCTGCCAGATAATTGCATTTATGGCGATTGTACAAGGAGGAGCTAGCCTAGCAACTAGCTAGCTAATTAGCCATGCTAACTAGCTAGCTGCCTGCTAGCAGAGAGGAAGACTGCTGCTAGATACCCCAAAACAAGTTAGCTAGTTAGCTTGTCAAAAATTGCTAAATGTAGGTAGCAAGAAGCGATGGCATGATTCAGCATTCGCTATCATAGGAAGTCCTACCTACCTACATTTAGATGGTAGCCGTCGCTAGCTAACTGTCTGTCAGTGGACATTCTTCCACTGACTGTACACGTCCATAAAAAGCCTGTTACATAAGTGTAACTAACGTTAGATGAAAGGGAAGCAGATAAACAAAGGGACTTTTTAAATAGCCTAAAATTGATATGCTGAATCTACTGTTCTTCAAAAATGAACTGACGCGGACCAAGTTAGTTTACTTAGATAACCTGTCACAGGTAAACAAACATTGTTTATGCATGATCTTAGCTTATCTATGTATCTTTCAATTGAAGGGTGTATCACCATAGTGCCATGGAGTTTCCAGATCTAGGAGAGCATTGCTCTGAAAACTCCTGCAAGCAGCTGGGTGAGTGGTTGCTAATGTAATGCTGTCTCCATTTACTACCTCAGTGCCTCTGGGACCCTGCCAATGCAGAGCCTGTTGTTTGTGTTCCCTTCCTGTCCTTTCTAGTATGGCTTTGGAATCTGTCAATAGTTGTGGTTTAAGTCCAAAGTCCTCCACAACCAATTGTCATGGGCTGCACTACCCATTATCATGATTGAAGAGTGATAGTGAGAATTTCATTGATCTACATTCATATGATGGATGATCTCCATCCTTTGCCATGGAATAAACACCTTGACATATTTCTTATATCTGACAGATTTCCTACCAATGAGATGTGATGCCTGTGAAGAGATTTTTTGTAAAGACCACATAAGCTATGCAAATCACAAATGCATGTCATCCTACAAGAAGGTACATTTTAAAATTATTTAGCAACATTGTATGTTTGAATTAAAACAAAGTTCCTGTAAAGTGCAGTTAGTATGTAGAAATGAATGTATGCTGTTCAACTTTATTAGTTGTCTGCATGTTGTCTATTGATCCAAACAGAGCTTTAATAAGGCTCTCTACTTGATTCTGTCCCCAGGATGTCCAGGTCCCTGTGTGTCCTCTGTGCAACACCCCGATCCCTATCAAGAGAGGGGAAATGCCAGACATCAAGGTTGGGGAGCACATCGATCGTGATTGCCAGTCGGACCCTGCTCAGAACAAGAGAAAGGTATGGTTGATACTGATAGGCTTCTCTACAGGACCATTTACAGAAACTGCCTATGGTTAAAGTGAAGTAGCTAGGCCTAATCTATGCTAAGCAACCTTTTTTTTTATTGTAGATATTTACAAACAAATGCTCGAAAGGAGGCTGCAAGCAGAAAGAAATGATCAGAGTGACATGTGACCAGTGCCACATGAATTATTGTCTTAAACACCGACATCCACTAGACCATGACTGTAAGCCTGAAGACAAACCAGTCTCCAAATCTGGGTAAATATTTCCCTCCACCTCTATCCTTCCACTTCAGATGATGCCATTTATTGATTGTGGTACACAATGTGAGCTTTTGTGGTATAATGATGATTACATTTGATTTATTTCAGATTCGCTGCTTTCATGCGGTCCCAAGGAGCATCCTCTAGCAGTGCCTCCACTTCAGGCAGTAGAGGAAGTTCGAGGCCCGTGTCTAATGGGAATGCTAGGACCCAGAGTAGTCGGTGAGGATCCTCTTGTATTGATTTTCGAAACGCCACACTGAAGAACTACATGAAGCTTAAATAAATAAGTGATTTTGGCAAGCACAGTTTGCGGGATCTTCTGTTCTCTAAATTCATGAGGCATTTTCTCACTAAAACACATGGGATGGATTCATTCACATGTTGATTTTATTGTCATTGAAATATACTACACATGGAAAGGATGTCAAATTTGTTCTTTCACAGAACAGCTCTTACCTGTTACCGCTGTGCTTTCTAGAAAGTGTTGAGTTGTTGACACTATAACCCCACTGAGCATTATTGCTTTTGATTTTATCACAGCAGTGCTCAGGCCATTTATACTCCAGCTCTGGCCATGCGGCCCCCTCCAGCACAGAATGTAGTACCTGCTTCGGCATCCTTTCAGGCTGGCCTGGTATGCCTAACACTCTTACACCACTTGATTGAAACTACTGTAAACTCTCTTCTCTGAATAATTCCAGTCCATTCATTGAGATTCTAAAGTCTGCTCCTGTTTATTCATTGAGATTCTAAAGTCTGTTCCTGTTCATTCATTGAGATTCTAAAGTCTGCTCCTGTTTATTCATTGAGATTCTAGTCTGCTCCTGTTTATTCATTGAGATTCTAAAGTCTGCTCCTGTTTATTCATTGAGATTCTAAACTCTGCTCCTGTTTATTCATTGAGATTCTAAAGTCTGCTCCTGTTTATTCAATGAGATTCTAAAGTCTGCTCCTGTTTATTCATTGAGATTATAATGTCTGCTCCTGTTCATTCATTGAGATTCCAAGAAGAAAATAAAGAACATCCTGTAAGTGTTTATCTGCCTGTTGTGATTGCAGACTGAGGAGCAGGCCTTACAAAGAGCTCTGGAGATGTCCTTGGCTGAATCGGCTCGCAGCACAGTCCAACAGCCAATGCTCAGGTAATAAACAATCCCCATTAAATCCCATAATCCAGCATCACCCACACATAATATAGGCTGTAATCATGTCCAGATGCCACCAACACAACCCAGTTACCTATTGTTTTCTCTTCACTGGCTCTTATTCTTATGGAAATAACCCCTTGGATTTTACCTGGAAAATGAATCACAATGCTATGTGTTTGCTCTAGTTGAAAAGCAGGCTATTTGCTTACTATAGGAAAACACAATATTAATAGATTTGACATTCGACTGTGTAGCCCATCTTTCTTGCTCACGATGACTTCATAAATGAAGTCAGTGGTGCCCACAGTTCAATGTTTCTTCATGTCATGATGTGTGTTTCTGCTTCTCAGACCTGTGAGTGACTGACTATGTGTGTGTCTGTTATCCACCCTTCTTTCTGGTGAGTGTGTCGGTGTGCCTCTTGCATGCTCTCTGCAGTGTGTTGATAATGCATTCCTCTGTGTGACATAGAAGTGTTTGTGTGTCTGTCTCAGCCCTCAGGAGCAGGAGGATCTGGCTCTGGCTCAGGCCCTCGCTGCTAGTGAAGAAGAGTACAGACGCCAGCAGCGGAGACAACAGGTATCCAGAAAACTTAGGCGTCAGTAGCATGCTAACAGGACAGGACCTCACCTAGGTACATTGCCTCCATGGCGTCCCCTATATCCCTTCATCATCCTCACTGGGTGCATGTAAAGATCAGCTAAGGAGAAAATGAATGACAAATAACTTTGAAGTACTACATAATGTGTATTTTATCTGATGGAGCTAATTAAATTATCCTATTTTTTTTCTCCCCATGTTGAATATTTACCGTAAATGGTGAGACAAGCCTCTCGCCAATGATTCTTTGTCTTGAATTAAATCGACTTTTGCCTGTACTAATATCTTACTTTCTGTCGTAGGAAAGAGAGTCCTCCAAACAGTCTTCCTGCAGCCTATCATAAACCCAGAGCCGTGTCTGAGCCCAATCTGCTACCACCAGTAATCAACTAGCAACTGTGCTACATCGATGGAACCCTCCAGCAGAACTCTTAATGTCCAGGATCACTGATCCCAACTAATGAACAGTCTGGGACTTTCATAGAGATACATTGAATAGTATCACTGCTTTCTCTCTACTCAGCACATAATTAAAGATAGGCTTTCTGTCCTTTTTACCGATGGCTCTCTATGTACATATTTTCTATGTTGATCATGGACATTTAACCTCAGAATCAATGTTTCTTGAATAAATTATTTTAAAGATGTATTTGTTTCTGAAGCACGTTTTTTGTCCAAGGCATATATACAGGAGGATGATATAATTAGTGAGGAAAGAAGTTTGGAGAACAGAACTAGAATGAGATACTATTTTTATTGTATAGAGAGAACCTATCTACAGTCTCTGCCCAAGCTTTGCCACAATTAAGAATACAAAGGGAAGGTCATTACATAATCCAACATATTTAAATCAACGTTTATTGGTCTCTTACACAGTTTAGCAGATGTTATAACAGGTGCAGCGAAATGCTAACGTTACTAGCTAGTTAAAACAAGTACACACTTGTCTGCGTCATCATGACAACTGAAGTACGAGGTACATCGTACACAATACAAAGTTGGTTGTTTTGTGCTATTGACTAGCCTATTAAATTGGCAGTGCTTGGTAAATGTAATGCATTCAGGGAAAAAAATGTATTGCATAAGAATAGAATGAACACAAAAACACTTGTTGATTTCCATGATGTTGATGTGTATTATGTTGTTCCCCAATACATCCATCAGGGCCTTTGCGATGCAGTTCCAGCTTTGAATTATCTCAGGGTAGGCTGTTGAATTGAAAGGTAAGTGGATAGAAATTGTATTTTTATTGTCATTTAATCTGTAATGTCTGTTTTCAAGAAGACCTTAGCAGTGATTGAGCACCACCCCTAGAAAGCATTGCTAACAGCAAAAACAGCTGAGACAAAACCAACATGAGCAATATAGCCGGAGTGCAGCAAACTGCAATTTTTGTGTTGTGTTGAGGCATATTCATTACGCCAATTCTGTTGCAAAACGTTTCTTAAACAGAACGAAATGGGGAGGGACCTACCTGAATTTATCCAATAGAAACTCTTGTTTTGCTTCCGTTTGGTTCTTAAACGGTAAACGGTTTCTGTAATGAATACACCTCTGGTAAATCGTTCCTGTTCCTCAAGGAGTCTTCATGAGACCGGTCTTTACCACTATGCATTCATACTTTGTCCAACAGAGAGCAGCAGAGTGTTGCATGTGAAATCTTTGATGGAGGCCAAAGAGGATCAAATTAAATTAAATTGTATTTGTCACATGTACCGAATACAAAAGGTGTAGACCTTACCGGGAAATGCTTACTTACAAGCACTTAACCAACAATGCAGTTAAGAAAATAGAGTAAAAAAAAGTATTTACTAAATAAACGAAAGTAAAAATAAAGTAAAATAATAAAATAACAATAATGAGGATATATACATGGGGTACCTGAATGAGTCAATGTGCGGTAATCTGTACATGTATGTAGTGGTAAAGTCACTATGTATAGATAATAAAGAGTGAGTAGCAGCAGTGTAAAAACAAAGGGATGAGGGTTGTTGGGCAGGTTCACAATAATGTTTTTTTTTTTTTTTCTCTCCATAAAGAATGCTCATTTGTTGACTATTTCATGACAGATTGGGGAAGTGCTGCTCATGTTGTCATGGTTATGAATGAGTCAGGCTAGTGTTGTCACTAGCAGGATTGTGGCACTTTAAGGTAAATACATTCTGAGTAATATTTTTCACTGATAAAACATGACCAAGGAAGCTAAGCATTACGTAAAGGATTGACAGAAAGCAACCATGTTCATTGGCAAACTAAGTTCATTTGCGTAATGGTGTGGTTAGTCGCCTTCATTTAGCTCCCTTAGCTGTTACACTAGACCTCCTCACCCTCAAACATTTGGAAAATAGCACACAATTGTCGATTGTCACAAAGGATTACTCATTTGGATCTAGTTTCATCTGAGCAAACAGAATAAAGGCACACTCCGTAGCTTCCCGCTGGCCAATCCACATAATTTCAACATGGAAATGTGGATAATATTTGATTGACGTTGATCAATGAGATTTCAACCTTTATTCAACCGCTCAAAAAGAAAGCCAGAAGTTTGTTGAATTCCCAATGTGTTATCACTTTCAACCATCTAAAAGCACAACCAAATTACAATGGAAAAACTGTCAGATATTTTGTATTTATACAACTTAATGTGTTATCGCTGTGATTCATCTAATAGTACAACCAAATGACCTGGGTTGCAGTTGAGATTACATTAAAAGTACATAGTGTAAGTGATCAGGCATAATGGGACCATTATCATTGTCAATCATTTGTCCATAGAACATTCTTCCAAGAGTCTTGATGATCATCCAGGTGCTTCCAGGTGCTTTTTGGCAAACTTGAGTCAACTTTTTGGATGACATAGGGTCCCATTGTGCCTGGAGAAAAGCAAACACTGCATTCCACAGTAAGAACCTCATACCAACGGTCAAGCATGGTGGTGGTAGTGTGATGGTTTGGGGATGCTTTGTTGCCTCAGGACCTGGACGACTTGCCTTAATAGAAGGAACCATGAATTATGCTCTGTATCAGATAATTCTACAGGAGAATGTCAGGCAATCCGTCTGTGTGCTAAAGCAGAAGCGCCTTTTGGGTCATGCAGCAAGACAATAATCCAAAACACACAATCAAGTCTACATGAAAATGGCTAAAGAGTAACAAATGTGAACTTTTGGAATGGCCTAGTCAGTCCAGACCTAATCCCAATTGAGATGTTGTGGCAGGACTTGAAACAAGCAGTTCATGCTTGAAAACCCACAAATGTCGCTGAGTTAAAGTAGTTCTGCATGGAAGAGTGGGCCAAAATTCCTCCACAGCGACTGATCAACAACTACATGAAGCGTTTGCTTGGAGTCATTGCAGCTAAAGGTGGCACAACCAGTTATTGAGTGTAAGGGGGCAATTACGTTTTCACACAGAGGCATTGGGTGGTGCATAACTTTGTTTATGAAATAAATGAAATAAGTATGTAATTGTTGTGTTATTTGTTCACTCAGGTTCCCTTTATCTAATAATAGGTTTTGGTTGAAGATCTGAGAACATTCAGTATCAAAAATATGCAAAAGTAGAGAAAATTAAATATCAACATTTAAAGAATAGGACTAAATCAAATCAAACTTTATTTATAGTGCATTTAAGGTTTGATTTGATTTAGTCCTATTCTTTAACTTTGATTTTTGGTTGAGATGGAGATGTGAATCCAACATATAAATTATTAACTTGAAGATTACATTTGAAATCAACCAAAGCTTGAAACTCAAGGCCTATATGTATTGTCTATTTTTAGTTGAACCCTTGGTTGAAATGAAACTATAGCTGTTGATGACTTTGTGAATGCTATTTAAGCCTATTGATGATCATTGATGATATATGACTAAAGTAGAGTTACATTTCATTTGCTCTGTTAAACCTTTTGGAATGACTTTGATAGCAGTGGATATATCTATTTAGGTATTAAGAGATCTCTCAGTAATCATTCTCAAAATAGCATATTGGTTGTAGTCCATCACAATAGCTAAGCAGAGCTGGCCTTAGTTAAAGCACTGGATGGGAGACCAAATACAGTGGGGAAAAAAAGTATTTAGTCAGCCACCAATTGTGCAAGTTCTCTTACTTAAAAAGATGAGAGAGGCCAGTAATTTTCATCATAGGTACACGTCAACTATGACAGACAAATTGAGAAGAAAAAAATCCAGAAAATCACATTGTAGGATTTTTTATGAATTTATTTGCAAATTATGGTGGAAAATAAGTATTTGGTCACCTACAAACAAGCAAGATTTCTGGCTCTCACAGACCTGTAACTTCTTCTTTAAGAGGCTCCTCTGTCCTCCACTCGTTACCTGTATTAATGGCACCTGTTTGAACTTGTTATCAGTATAAAAGACACCTGTCCACAACCTCAAACAGTCACACTCCAAACTCCACTATGGCCAAGACCAAAGAGCTGTCAAAGGACACCAGAAACAAAATTGTAGACCTGCAACAGGCTGGGAAGACTGAATCTGCAATAGGTAAGCAGCTTGGTTTGAAGAAATCAACTGTGGGAGCAATTATTAGGAAATGGAAGACATACAAGACCACTGATAATCTCCCTCGATCTGGGGCTCCACGCAAGATCTCACCCTGTGGGGTCAAAATTATCACAAGAATGGTGAGCAAAAATCCCAGAACCACACGGGGGGACCTAGTGAATGACCTGCAGAGAGCTGGGACCAAAGTAACAAAGCCTACCATCAGTAACACACTACGCCGCCAGGGACTCAAATCCTGCAGTGCCAGACGTGTCCCCCTGCTTAAGCCAGTACATGTCCAAGCCCGTCTGAAGTTTGCTAGAGTGCATTTGGATGATCCAGAAGAGGATTGGGAGAATGTCATATGGTCAGATGAAACCAAAATATAACTTTTTGGCAAAAACTCAACTCGTCGTGTTTGGAGGACAAAGAATGCTGAGTTGCATCCAAAGAACACCATACCTACTGTGAAGGCATGGAGGTGGAAATATCATGCTTTGGGGCTGTTTCTCTGCAAAGGGACAAGGACGACTGATCCGTGTAAAGGAAAGAATGAATGGGGCCATGTATCGTGAGATTTTGAGTGAAAACCTCCTTCCATCAGCAAGGGCATTGAAGATGAAACGTGGCTGGGTCTTTCAGCATGACAATGATCCCAAACACACCGCCCGGGCAACGAAGGAGTGGCTTCGTAAGAAGCATTTCAAGGTCCTGGAGTGGCCTAGCCAGTCTCCAGATCTCAACCCCATAGAAAATCTTTGGAGGGAGTTGAAAGTCCGTGTTGCCCAGCGACAGCCCCAAAACATCACTGCTCTAGAGGAGATCTGCATGGTGGAATGGGCCAAAATACCAGCAACAGTGTGTGAAAACCTTGTGAAGACTTACAGAAAACGTTTGACCTGTGTCATTGCCAACAAAGTGTATATAACAAAGTATTGAGAAACTTTTGTTATTGACCAAATACTTATTTTCCACCATAATTTGCAAATAAATTCATTAAAAATCCTACAATGTGATTTTCTTGATTTATTTTCCTCAATTTGTCTGTCATAGTTGACGTGTACCTATGATTAAAATTACAGGCCTCCTCATCTTTTTAAGTAGGAGAACTTGCACAATTGGTGGCTGACTCTATACTTTT